GTTCAAGCGGTCTCAAACTGGATTATTTCTGCAGTGTGTTTTAGACCTGATCCCCACCCGCATCGAAATTAATTTTTCTAGTTAGATGTGTTCATCATAAATACGCAAGGAGACAGACACTTTTCCGATCTACACAGCCTTTTTCTCCTAGAGTTGGCCCAGTGTGGTGTAGTGGTTTAAGCGCTGGACTCTGACTCTAGGGACCAGGGTTCGAATCCTGGCTTGATCATGGAAAGCCAGTGGGTGACCTTGAGCAAATCACACTCTCTCAGCCTCAGAGGATGGCAATTGCAAATCCCCTCCGAATAAATCTTTCCCCATATGATAGAGTCGCCTTGAGGTTGCCATCAATCAGAAACTACTTGAAGGCACATATAAAACAAGTGCCACTAAAGGCCTAAGCAGACTGCCAGAAATAGTGCACATTAAATTGAGGCACTGCCCTGGCTCAGTGCTAAGGAATCATGGGAATTGTATTTCTTTCTGAGACATTGAGCTTTCTCTGTCAGAGAGCTCTGGTGCCACAATAAATTACAGTTCCCATGATTCCCTAGCACTGAGCCAGGGCAGTGCCTCAATTTAATGTGCACTATTTCTGGCAGTCTGCTTAGGCCCTAAGCTCATCAAAAGCAGTTCGCCCCTCTGTCAAAACACTCTCTCAACTGTGTGATGGGGAGGGAAATGGCTACATCTGTCTTTGTCTTCCCAGTTAAAGCTCTGGTGCCACAGACAAGTACAATTCCCAGGATTCCATAGCACCGAGTCATGGCAGTTCAAGGGGTGTCAAACTGGGTTATCCCTCCAGTGCGGCGGCAACTTAAAGGTTAAAGGGGGTTGCAGACTGCCAGAAATAGTGCCAATTGAGTCCACTTTAAGGGTTAGGGTTAGGGTTAGGGAATCATGGGAACTGTATTTTATTGTGGCACCACAGCTCTCTGACAGAGAAGGATCAATGTCTCAGAAAAAAAACAATGCCCATGATTCCCTAGCACTAACCCTAACCCTTAAAGTGGACTCAATTGGCACTATTTCTGGCAGTCTGCAACACCCCTAAGATAGGTGTGGAGTTCGGTCTGTTTTGGAAAAGTTGGTCCACTAAGGGCCTGAACAGACTGCCAGAAATAATCCAACTTGAGGTCACTTCAACTGCCCTGGCTCTTTGCTAGGGAATCATGGGAATTGTAGTTTTTTTCTAAGACATTGAGCTTTCTCTGTTAGAGAGCTCTGGTGCCACAATAAACTACAGTTCCCATGATTCCCTAGCAATGAACCAGGACAGTTAAAATGGCCTCAAGATGGATTATTTCTGGCAGGGCCGTCCGAAGCCCCCTGCCTGGGGGGAAAGGAGGTCCCATTCAACTCGGTGGGACTTGCAATCCAGAGTAAGCCAGGCGCCGTCTCCTGCTGCGCCTTTGTCGCTCACCTGCGCTTCCAAGCACAACCTCAAAGCAGAGACCATCTGCTCCAGTCTTTCCCTACACACACACACACACACACACCGGTCCGGCGGACTACAGCCCCCATCACCCCTCCAGTCATCTTCCTGGGGATGATGGGGGTTGTACTCCGATGCACCTGAAGTGGTGGCCTAGGGTTACTTAGGGAAGGAGGATGCATGCGTGAAAGCTGAATGCCAGATGTCTTGAACCCGCAACAAGATTGGGGCCGGGGCCTTTTGCAAAAGGAGAGTAAGGGCCTTTACAGACTGCCAGAAATAATCCAGCTTGAGACCACTTTAACTGTCCTGGCTCAGTGCTAGGGAATCATGGGAACTGTAGTTTTTTCTGAGGCATTGAGCCTTCTCTGTCAAAGAGCTCTGGTGCCACAATAAACTACAGTTCCCAGGATTCCTTAGCACTGAGCCAGGACCGTTAAAATGGATTATTTCTGGCAGTCTGTACAGGCCCAAAGAGATAGGAGGAGAACATCACTTGTTGCTGTTGTTGTTGTTGTTGTGTGCCTTCAGGTTGTTTCCGACTTGTGGAGACCCTAGGCG